TAAATTAAGAATTTAGTTATGATTTCTCAACAAAGATCAAGTCTAAAGTGATAGTTAAGAGTCTTCGTTAAGCTAACACTGTGACTCATATATAATATTTCAACAGATCACAAGGGTCTGCTTCACAGAAAATATGTATTTAAAAGGAAGTTTCTAAAAATATTAAATGTGCTAGGCTATGAAAGGCTCATACTGGGAGCACAAAATAGAGAAAGGATAATCTCAAAGAGACTCATGGGTGTGGCTTCAACCTAATGGAATTGTTTATACATTGATAGATAAGAAATTCACAAGATTTCTTAAATAATTATAACACCTTATTCTGAAAGAGATAAAGTCAGTAAAAAATGCAAAGGCCTTTGAACTCCCAACTTCCGCAGGCAGGGGACAGACTAAGAGAATTACCCCAATGCAAACATGGAGAACTTTGATGGAAAAAGAAAAATGACTCAGAGAGCAGAGGGCAGAGCCCAAAGGTAAAATAAAGAGCCATGAAGAGTAACGTCTAGGGAGTAGGAGTGAGCCCTAATCAACTAACGGACAATGTGTGCCTGCTGGATTTCAGAACTGCTGTGGAGCCGTGCCTGTTGCATGTTTCCTGTTCTACCCATATTTGAAAGGGATTGTGTATAGCCAATATTCTACAGCTGTTGCACTATAGATTGAGTATGTGAGGAACAGATAAGTTTTATCCATTAGGTCAGAGCTTTTCAGATCAAGAAGAATTATATTCAAAGAGCTATAATTAATTATCTACACATGAAGATGGATACAAATGGATATGATTTAGATTACAGATACCAGACTTTGAACCACGGAGAAGAGATCTTAGAAGATAAAATCATTATATTTGGCTTATGGGAAAATGTAGATTTTATTGTCCAGAGGGCAGATGACAGACTATTATACTTTTCAAAGCAGACTGCAACAATATCTCCCACCCTACATTCTAAAAATTGTGACTATGACATTCTTTTCATTGACATGGTATCTATAGTTCTTAAACTTGGGCAGATCTTTGTGATTATCTCAAATGACATAGCATGATATAGGCAACAGTATATGACTTTCAAGGCCATATCACAAAAATATCGTGAATTCCACTTTATTCCCTTGGGACATTTTCTTTTGAAACCCACCACCATGCTGTGAAGAAGTTTCAGCTGACAGCCAGCACCCATTTGCCAGTCAAGAGAAGCCATGTGCAGTATTCCAGTTAAGCCATCTCAGCTGACACCATATACATCAGAAATAAGATATCTTTGTCTTTCCTGCTCACATGCAGATGCATGAGTAAAATAAGTATTTTTAGTGTTTTAAATTCACAAAGTTGTAGGGTCGTTTTTGCACAATAACAGATTTCTGATATCATGTAAAGCAGTGATTTGAATTGAGAATGATTTTTCTCCCCAGAAGATATTTGGCAATGTCTGGAGACATTTTTAGTGGGGCAGGATGCTACCAGAGTCTAGTTTGCTGAGGTCAGGGCCTGCTACACATTCACAGCTCCCTGCAACAAAGATGATCTCATCTAAAATATCATTATTACCATGGTTAATGAATACTAGTTTAAAAGTTTCCCTGAAATACAATGACAGATAGTTAGTTGCTTAAGTCTCAAGCCTAGCAAAAGCAGCCTATAGTTCATTTTATGGCATCTCAAATACTTCATCTTCCAAAAAGGTGTTCTCATGATAGGACAGCTCTCCAAAAGGAAAATCTCAAATGACGCCTCTCTAGAAGATAAATATGAGGGACAAAACCTTCCCATCAGTGAGAATACAGTGTATCCAAAACAGAAGGACAAAAAACTAATTCTACTGATAGTAATATTGGTTTTTATATTCCTAGACCTGTAAGATATAGTACTGTATTTGCCATGGAATGATGTTAAACAAAATTGTTTCTTTTTATGAAAGAGATTTATTTTGGCTTCCTTGATTTTATTCCCCTAAACAAAAGCAAATTCATTTGCAATGAGTTGAACAGTGACTCCAAAAATTCATATCCACCCAGAATTTCAGAATGTGACCTTATTTGGAAATAGAGTCTTTGCAGATATAAGTAGTTAAAATTAGATTATACTGGATTAGGGTGGGCTCTAAAACCAACGACTGCACTCTTTTTAGAAAAAGAAGGGATTCAGGCACCAACATATACAAACAGAAAATGGCCATGAGAAGTTATAAGGGAAAATTGGAGTGATACAGCTCTAAGCCATGAGAAAGTATGTTCCTTCTAACACCTCGATTTCAGATTTCTAGCTTCCATAATTGTGAGAAAATAAATTTCTATTGTTTTAAGCCACCCAGTTTGTGGTAATTTGTTATGACAGTCCTAGTAAACTAATATAACCATTCTGTATTATTTAAATTGGCTGTTGGTTGTAATTATTATATTTGAACAGAATCATAATGAGTCACACCTAGACCTAAATGAGATAAATTTATAATATCCAAATGTTGTGGATTTAGAACTGGATGCAGTAGTTTTATTTGGCTTGGGAAGAGGTAAGTGTATTTGTATTTAAATAAGAAGCATTTTGATAAATTTGGGGATAGGCATATTGGAAATGTACATATGAGGAAACAAGAATCTGTCAGTGCATGATGAAGGTACCTCATAAAGTCTTCCCACTAACCCTTCTGGACCCCTTACTCTGGAAAATCAGAAGTTACCCAAGAAATTCTATCTACTTGCTCCATCCCCATCATAATCAACTCCCACCCCCATAAATAACCATTATCCTGACTTTTATGGTAGTTATATCCTGCATTTTTAGAATTTCATCACTCAGATATGCATTCATTGATAAAATTATTTAGTTTTATCTTTGTCCATCTTAAAATAGTTGGCATGTCATTTTAAGTCTCTTAAATCTATCGGTTCTCTCTCCATTCTTTTTTTCCTTCCAATATTTACATGCTTTTCTGCCACTTTATTTACATTAGATCTACATTGTCATCATAATGTTAATATGTATTACACTCTCTCCTTCTTATACCTTATTTAGTCTTAGTTCGACAGAAATTTATGTATTTAAACATACACATGCTTGCTTCTTTATGTCAATGTCTTTCCAGCAACTTTGATTGTTTGAAGCTAGTTCTCTATAAATTCCTTGGAAAGGGCTCAGAAAATAGTTTCCCAACTTCTTGAATCTTGATAAAACTGTGTCCTTTACGCTTGAAAGTCATTTCATATAAAATGTCTGATTCACTGTATTTTTCTTGAATATCTTATTTCAGTCTATTTTCTTCTGATCGAGAGTATCCCAGCTAGGTAAAAAACTCTGTTGATTATATAATTTTTCTTCTATAAATAACATGCTTTTAAACAATACAGATATCTAAAATTTTTTGTCCTATTCCTCAAAGTCCAGTACTTTTACTACAATATGCTTGGTGTTTGTTTTTCTGAGTTGATGTTTCTAGGTAGTTAGTGTAATTTTCAATATCTGGTTTTAAATCATTTTAATTTTTTGCTTTTTAAAATTTTTTATTAATATGTTTGTATTACATAATGTTTATATTCATCTTAGGAAGTAGGTACATGTACTTAGTACATCTTAATTCTTTTTATTCCCCTTTTCCTCCCCTCCCTCTGACTCTAGATCCTCTTCCCATTTGCAAAGGAAATCTCCCCTCAGGACCTTGTGCCTGCAAGGCAGGTGCAGTGCCACTGAGCTAAATCTCTGGCCTTTTTATTTTGTTTTTTTAAGTTATTTATAGTTTGGGTTTCTTGTGTAAAAGGAGTTATGTGATTATATAAGCTATACCCATGTCTATAGCAGCATAATAATAGCTAAATCTTGGAAATGGCCTATATTTTCATCAACAGATGAATGGATAATGAAAATGTGGTATGTATACATAATGAAGTAATACTTAATCAATCTTCTCTTTTGTAGATTGGTTACATTCATAACCTACCTATATTCCACCTAGTCAAACAAATCTAAACCTTTTGTCTAAGTAGACTTTCTGCAGAGTAAATTATTTTCAGAATGTTCAATAGATCTCCAATATCTGCAGAAAAATATCAATTCACTTCCCTTAGCCATTAAGCCTTCTTATTTCTTCATAGTACCTAAAAGAGAAGTCTATGTCTTTAGAATTATTTGGAAAACTCTTGTCCCTCCCAGTCTGTGAGACCTGTCTGACTATTAGTTTGGGATTCAGTCTATGTGTTGTCTTACCTGCCTCCAAATTGGCTTCAGTCCTAGTGGATTTTGTCAGAGGTCCATGCTTACAAAAGTCTTTCTGTTGGAGAGACTGGAACCCCATTCTAGGTCTTCCAAACTAAGGGGAAGTCAATTCTGAGCTGAGACTGCTTTATGGATATCTTTGTAAGGGTAGAAAAAAACCAGAAAATCATTCACAAAGGCAAAATTCACAAAGGGGAACAACTAAAGCTTATGTAGGCAGAATAGCAAGATGAGAGTACATATGGCCCCAGGGAAGGAGTAGCTGTCTTGGCTCGGGATGTTATGCAGTACCAGCATTCTGGCTCTAGTTTTGCAAGGTATCTTTGTATCATTAAAATAAAATGTTATCTTTTATCATTATTATTATTATTAAATTAGCTCAAGAAAATTTGTTATTTGTAATCAAAAGAGCTGCAACTAAGACACCTATGCATCTTGCATGACTCAGCCACAACACTTCTCTAAAGAGTATCCCATTTACAAACCCCAAATACTACCCTTTCCTGGATCCTCATTTGTGCTTTTTAATACCTGCACCACTTTCTTTCTCTTATCCACCTGCCACCTTATATCAATCTGCGAACAATTCAAAAACAAAGGAAATGTCTTATGTATGTTTGTATCGCTCTAGCATCCATTGCAGTACAGGGTACATAAATGGCTAACATGAGAGGAGGAGAAGGGCAGTGCCCAGTGATGATCCACAGCCCGCAGAGCCTTCTCCTGTCCTCTGGGGTAGAAGCCTTAGACAGAGCTGTTTGTGTTTCAGGAGCACAAGGTTACCCGGGGCAGAAACAGCACAAACTGGTCAGGCAGAGCCTTGTGCTTGCTGCCAGCTGCCGGGCACTGTCCCCACAGAGCTGCACACAGGACACTGTGTCACTTCCATCCTGTCACGGCTTTATTCTGCTGTGTCACCTCAGGGCAACTCCTGGCCAGGGCCCATGTGATACCCACAGGGGCTACGAGACCTGCAAAGGTGGCAGTGAGCACAGCCGGGCAGCCTCTCAGGACCAGGAAGTGGGCCCGACCTTTTCTGAGCCGTTAACAGACACCAGGGACAGGCTGGCCTCGCAGGAGGCCTGGAGCCAGGCTGAGCCTCGGTTTCTCCCTCCAGCATGGGACCTGAGGTTGGGTGGGCTCTTCATGCCCCAGGCCGTGACCTCTCCTTGTTAATGAGCCATGAATCCGTAGCATTTCTGTGTGTCCCTTCTGAAATTACCTTCTAACATGCATCGCTTTTCTGCCAGGCCCACTTGTGCCTCTTCTGGTACGACTGAAGGCAACTTGCAGAGTGGTCTGGGCTTCAGCCTGAAGCTCTCCTGATGGCCTGGAGTTCCATGTCTCTGTTCTGTCACAGATTGGGGCCCAACAGGAGGAGAGCAGGACAGAGGGCTGCATGGTGAGGACGGCGCTGGCAGGCATGCAGCGCCCCGAGGGAGCCCCCAGAATGGGACTTCCTGGACAGCCGCCCCATCCACGCAGACTCCCTCCTGGACCCCTCTGGGGCCTGCATTCCCACCCTGCAGGAGGGGATGGTGCGAAGGTGAGCTCTGTGGTCGGCACCCAGGGGCACTTGGCCACTGTGGCCCCAAGTCTTTGGAAGGTATGAGCCCTGCCTCAGCCTGCTCGCAACTCTGAGCAGCAGGGTGCTGAGAAAATCGGGCTCTCCGCATCACTGCGGTGCAGAACTGGGGTCTCCAGGGCAGTGCTGACCTGGGCCTGCCAGATTCCCTTCCATCCCTGGCCGGCTGTGCTGTGCCCCACTGAGCCCTGCACAGGGGAAGGTTGTCCGTTCCCTGTAAAGGAGACTGCAGAGTGACTCAGGAGGCCTCTGGTCTTCCCAGAGCAGGAGTCTGTGGGGATGCGAAGGGCCCAAGCCCACTGACATCAGGGAAGAGCAGGTGGGGTCCCCATTCCATGGACATATGTGAAGACACACTGTGTGCAGACCTTTCCCAGGGCTCGGCTATGATCACCAGTACCCAGGGCAGATGCAACCCCTGCCCTCTGGGGCTTCAGTGCTATCTGGGGTCCTCAGTCACCCTGGACAGCTGAGCAAGCATTCCTCGCACTGCAGTAGATGGCACTTTCCCGGCCTCCCTAGATGTGGATCCACAGCAGTGCAAGAAGAGCCCAGGAGCGGCACAGACACCGGGGACCACAGCGCTGCAGAGCTGAAGCCTGAGGAAAGGTGGGAGGGACAGATGCCCACTGTCCCCCCCCCATCTCAGATCCTTACAGAGCAGTGGCCCTGTGCCCTTGAGTGTAACACGCAGCAGACAGCAGACTCTGTCCTCATGCAGCTGACAGTGGGGACGGGTGGGCAGACGGTGTGTTGGGCTGCCCTGAACAAGGCAGAGGCGGTCGCACCACAGAGCACGGAGCCTCCTGTTAGGTCTCGGGCTGCCTGGCCCAGCACTGCCCCACTAGGCATGGAGAGGGTGGGGCTGGAGCACGTCCAGCCGGGCCAGGAGGCCTACTTGTCCATCTCCGCGTGTTCCCTGGGCAGGCAGCATGGGAGGAAAGGCCAGGCCTCTTACTCTGCCTCCTACCTGCCTTTCCAGGTCCTCCTTTTTTGTCCTCCACTTCTTGGCGGAGCTGCACTCCCAGGAGAATCCATCAGCTGAACTCCTGGCCCAGCTGGAGCAAGCTGAGCCCACTGAGGCACAGCCCACGGGTGAGGAGGACGGGGTGTGGGCCTGTGGGCATGAGGGGAGGGCTGGGCCTTTAGACACAGAGACAGCTTCCGGGTGCTGGGGTGACCTGGGATCACTGAGACCTCAGCCGTCACAGTCTGGGAGGACTACCTGGGGAGGCTTTGTGCGCAGAGCTGTCTGATGGGCAGTGGGGAGGTTTTGCCCTGGGAGGGAACACGGAGAGTTGGTGACTTTTTCTTCTCTTAGAACTGCAGGACCAGCTCCAGCCCCAGCTGAAGTCCCACACGTGGAGCCCGAGACAGCTCCACCTGCAGCTTCCTGCCCAGCGCTGGGACCACAGCCAGAGTCCGTGGCAGCCCCTTCACCTGCTGCAGTGCTGGGGCACCCGGTGGTTGCACGGTGGTTGGTGTCACCTCCTGAGCTCCGCCTGGGGTCAGCTCCTGGCCCCCTCCCACTGTTCCCCTCACTTATGCTGGCTCTTGTTTTGGTATTTACAATTGCCCTTATTTCTTGGTTTTATATAAATAATAGAACTAGCTTTGAATAAAACTTAAAATTTTAGTGTTTAAAAGGGTCAGCGTGGTGGCCTGAAGTGCCTTCTCCCTGTGTGCGCCCATCCCCAGAGCACTGTGCTTGGTGGCTCCTGCCCACGCCCCTGGCCACTGCTGCTCTCGTGTCCCCACGGGCACCTGGCCTGCAGGGTTCACACCAGTGCAGTCGGACTTCCCTTTGGCCACACAGTCATGGGAGGGGCTGATGAATCTTGCGCTTTGCAGAAGGGGAAACCCTAGAAAGACCCCGGCCATTTTTCATTGGCTTCTTCAGTAGGTAATCCAGGTTGTGTTGCCAGACAGGATGTATTTATCACAGTAAGATAATGTGTGCAGTCTGCATGAAGGACAGGCGAAGGGCACCATCCCAGGAAACCCACTGGGCCGTGGCCTCCCCTAGGCGTCCCCTCTCGGTCTGCATCTCGGGGTTCAGGCTGTGTCTTCCCTGCTGGAAGGGGGTGCGCCAGGCCTCAGCTCTCCTATCATCTCATTACGTGCATGGGGACCTGGCCTGTCAAGCTCAACCCCACACATTCAGGGCCCCAGTGACATGGTTGGCTCAGCAGCCTCTGCCTTCCTGGTTCCAGGGTCCCCGGTGTCTGTGTCATCAATGCTGCTTTGTAGGGTGGAAGCCTGGCAGTGGAGACTCCTGTCATAGTCACAGGAGCAGGGCCAGCAATGGGCTCCTTCTGTGGAGTCTGCAGGGCAGAGCACACCATCCTAGCCGAGCTTCAGGTGACCTCCCGGACATCAGCTCTGCAGGTCTTTGGGCTCACCTGGGGACAGTCTGCTCTGGCTGCTGTCTGTCTCCGCTCAGAGGGCAGAGGGACAGGACAGCACAGCCCCAGCCTGCCTACTTGGAGATGGACGAACATTCTCTCCATCTCTATTAAATTTTACTTTTAAAATATGAAACCACAGAGGATCCTGGACAGCAGAGGCTGGAGGTTCCTGGGGGTGTATGGTCCAGCCCTGCCCATGGACTGAGGTCTTTACAAATCAGTAAAACTTATTTTTAGTACTGGGGATTAAATTCAGGACCTTCTCACTGAGCCACATCAGCAGCCCATTTAATGTGTGATTGTGATTGTCAGAGTCGCCATCACCCAGCCTGGGCCTCCCAGAGTGCTGGGTAGCAGAGCTGCACCACCTCACCTGGCTTCACTGAGTGGCTCTGAAAAACGAATGGATCCCGATGGCTGGGTGTCCACCATTAACGCTTGGGTCAGCTCAGCATCTCTGGCTAGGGCTATGGGCTCCACCAGAGGGGCTGCTGCTCCCTGAGAGGCCAGTGAGTTGCTGCCTCATGCCAGGTGAGTGACATCATTCTAGGCGGGTGACCACAGGCTGAGACCTGACCTCCCTCCCACACTGCCCTGCTGTGCGCAGTCCCCAAGTGCTTTCCTCCTCTCTGCATGCTGAGCTGGGCAGAGAGCAGGGTGAGTCTGTCCCTGGGTGACCTCATTCCTGGGGCCCCAAATCCTGCACCAGGCTGCAAGCTGCACAGCCCCACGCCGGAGCCGCACCTGCAAAGCTGCAGGAACCATCTTTCCAGTGTCCACGCACAGCTGCAGTTCCTGACTGCACCAGACTATCCTGGAATCCCTCCCTGACCGCACACATGCACCCCATCCTGGCCAGATGCTGCTGGGCCCTCACACTGTGCCCACCGCCCACTGCACCAGCCACAAAGAAAGGATCATCCAGACAGAGCTGGGCCTTGAGCTGGCAATGCCAGGGGACAGGGACTGTGTGCTCCATAGAAGTGACTTTGAGAGCAATCCACGGTTCACAGATTTCCCCACAAAGCCCCAGGTGGGGCCTAATTTGCATTCCACGCTTTAAATATACCGACCTCACCATGAATGTAACCACTATGCACTGATGAAATAATAGAGCGAATTATAAGCAGTAAGGAAATGAGGCCCTAATGGCAAAACCAAAACAGAGGGAAGTGAAGCGAAACTCTTCAGGGCCACGCAGCCCTCCAGCTGCCAGCCGGGGTGTGGCAGGTGAGGCGAGCCCGGGGAACCAAGCAGCAACCTCGGAAGCCAAGCGCATCTGCTGGGATCTCTGTGGCCAAGCTTGGGACAACAGCGATGGGAACTGTCGGAGCCCTTTGCTCTGTGCACAGCTGGGTGCAAACACATGGGGGGCTTGCTGGGCACTGGCTGCCCAGCAACCCCAGAAGCAGCTCACTCAGCCTTGGGGGAGACAGCGAGCCCACACTCCCAATACCCGGCACAGAAAGTGAGCACCGACTCAGGTGAGTCTTCTGAGGCCGCACTCTGCACTCACCGCCTTGGTCCGCTGCTCAGGGCCCTGATGCCTCTGTCCCAGCTTCCTTCCGGGTGCTGGAACCAGCTGAGCTTCTCTGCCCTAGGAGCCTGGGATGGAGGCTTGGGAGCTTCCCTCCGGGTGCAGGGACCAGCTCACCTTCTTGGACCTAGGAGAGCCT